CAGAAATTTTTGTTTAATTATAATATTGGAAATGTTTCTGCTTTAAATTCAAAGTTCGAATTAGTCAATACTCGGTTAAGGATTTCTAGTTATAGGGTTAAGAGATTGTATCAGAAAGTAAACTATCAACTGGGGAGTTTGGTGTTCAGTGGTTAAAAAGATGGAATCTTTTTTGAAGAAGAATGATTTGAGAGTGATTGCATGCCTTGCGGTAAAATGCAATTTAGCTGAGTTACATACCAGTATCTGTTCCATGTGATTTTTCCTCTGTTACTGTACTCTTTTGGAGTATTATTTTCATTTGCGGTGCTTAACTGAGCCAAAGAAAAAGTGAAGAATCCTAAACAGGGAATTGGATATTGAGTTTGTATTACCTCATTTTTGGGGTAAACTATGCACACATTTGCAAATTTCGTCCAATCATTTAAATAGATTAGAAGATTGGAGTGGATCTAGCTTTCGTAAGAGTTGACTATTTTTGCATCTTGTTAAATGAATCAGGTGTTGCCAACTTCATGATAAACCATAGAAGAGTTTTATATTGCTCATGTACAGCGGTATACGGAAGCCAGAAAAAGAAAAATGCATCCATGTTATTTGTGTAAAGCTTATCATACCATGACCAATTCGTCTAAAATTTTATTGCTGTTAGCATTACAACCACTGATACTGCTAGTGATTGAATTTTGAATCCTTAATCATTTGTAGAACTGAGAGAACTCATGCATTTGGAAATATTGATTCATCCACCGTTGCTGACTAGCGTGTATAATATGAATAGATGTAATTTGATCTTAACATCCCTGTCAAAGCAGGTATCCTATGGCAGTGGGACACTTTTGTTATGCGTTTTGTTACATTTAGCATAGCATTTTTCAGTTTATCAAGTATTAAGTTCTCAGAAATCTTTTCAGGCAATCACAGCTGGGACTTTTCTAGCACTCTCTTCCATTATCATGTTCTTAATCCAACCAATCTTTGCACCAGCAGCTTTTGAACCTTTCAAACTGGTGCTAAAGTCAGTGGAACTGCAGCTGCTGCAGTTGTGGAAAGAGTAATACGTGTCAAGTTACTTAGTAGCGCGGTGCCTGGTTTATTTGCCGGTTGCTTACACACCCTATCAGGGCCTGACCACCTTGCTGCTTTGGCTCCACTATCAATTGGCCGGACTCGAATGGAAAGCACTGCTGTTGGAGCTCTATGGGGTTGTGGCCACGATGCCAGTCAGGTTATTTTTGGTTTATTGTTTCTACTACTAAAGGATCGTCTCCACATTGAAATTATCCGGACTTGGGGTACAAGAGTAGTGGGCTTGACATTGCTTGTTATTGGGGCTATGGGTATAAAAGAAGCTTCAGAAGTTCCTACGCCTTGTGTTGCCTTAGAAAATGGCCAGTGCGATGTTAGCATTTACGAGGCACTTGAAAACCCTACAGTCGGGAAAAAGAACAGTTTTTCTACATTTGCTACCGGAATTGTTCACGGACTGCAGCCAGATGCACTAATGATGGTTTTGCCAGCACTCACTTTGCCATCTCGCCTGGATGGGGCCGCATTCCTTATTATGTTCTTGCTCGGAACCGTGGTAGCAATGGGAAGCTATACAGTGTTTATAGGCTCATGCAGCCAATCATTAAAGGATAGAGTTCCCAGAATTACTGAGATGCTTACATGGGCTTCTTCTCTTGTAGCCATTGCTCTCGGAGTAGCCATTATCGTAAGTCAATTTTTCGGATTTAGTCTCTATTGATCTGCCTGACCCGACAATCAAGACATTCACTCCAGCTTCTTTAGCACTTCATGAAGATGTTAGAAAGGATATTCGGATTTAATTTCAGCAATATTTCATCTGAGCAGTATCTTTGCCCCAGTTACCTTTCATTGCTTCCTTGTGAAACTGTTTCGAAACACTCTTCTATTACCATGGTTAGAATATCATATTTGTTAATCTTATAAGTTATACATATATTGCTTGAATGGTAAAGAACACTAACATGCGCATGTTAGATCCGCAACATCGGATGATCGCAGTTCATCAAATTTTATACGCAAAACACTACATATTCATATTCGAACACAGCTAAATTTAAAAATTAAATCACTTTAGTTTCATGAAAGCTGAATCTACATCTCAAGTCCCAATCCAAAAGAAGCCAGAGAGAGAGAGACAGAGAGATGATGTAACACGATTAAGCCATAGATCCACATGTTTAATACTCTGTCAACACCAACCTTATGACTCTGGGATAAGCAGGTAAGCCAGGTGATTCGGTTGCATCAATGATTTCTTAAAACAGAAGTTGGGATGCCGTGTCATCCTGAACAAATATTTATTTGGAATGCTGCGAGACACCGGTGTTACCATCTATACCATAATGTCACGGATTCATGCACTCGATGCCAGAAACAAAACCCTGCTCCCGGAGACTCGAAGTGATTATGGCTTCTGCTTTTTTTCAGTGTCGTAAAGCACACATGCGTCTGCTGCTGTCTTCATCTGAAGAAACAAACAATTACCAACCTTTCAAACCCAAATTGCCATTACAACAATGTCATAGGATATGCAGAATTAAATTTAAATCAATGCAAGTTTGATTAAGTTACAAGACATATATGGCTACCTGTATAATATTGATGATCTGCTTGATTGAGCATCCAAATAAACTTATGCCAACAAGAACTGAAAGAGGTGAACCCTCTTTCAGGGTAGTCACTACAACCTGAATCGAGAAAAAAATTAAGCAATAAGAAATCAAAATGCAAAGGAATCCGCTCTTCAAATGAGAAAGGAAGCATTACACGAGAACCCAGACTTACATCCATCAAATCTTCCGTATGGTTCTTTGAAATAAGAAATAAGGCTATATAAAGAACCTGTAAACTCATGATAACTTGATCAATTTACAAGTACCAAAAGCAAGGTACTGCAGAGGACAAAATGGGTTATATATTTATAATTACCTCACAAGCCACACAACAATAGCCCATAAACATCCGGTTCCCATAGTAAAGCTTGAAAAGCCAATTGGAGCTGTCTTTCACATCTTTATGACTAGCCTTACCCGCTAGAAATGAACTGCAAAATAAATATGAAGAGTTAACGACGAAAAACATAGCCTAGTAAAAAAAAGGGAAAGAAAGATGTATTTCAAGGAAAAAGAACTACCTGTACATCTGCAGCCAGTGGCTAGCAATATCTAGCGCTAGCAAAGACAAGAAAACCAAGCTAGGCCTGCAAGGAAATGTGACAGATATGGCATGACACAAGTATATTGGAATGCCAATATAAATACAAACGGATGAATGAAAGAAAGCTCACCTATACACTTGGGAAAGTATAACCAGTAGACAAGCAGTGCTAATCCTGAATTACAGAATTGAGAAGAATCACTAAGTAGACAACCATGTAATTCAAAATTTCTACTGGCATTATTTATGAAAAAAAAAGTAAAACATACATGAAGGTATCCTAAAAACTTAATGTCTATCACAGATAGAGAGACTGTGTGTACCTATCTGTTACCATGTCCAGAACAGCTCCAAATGTCGACGCTGAGCCAAGGAGAACGAAGAAAAAAATAAATCAGATTTTGTATATTAGCTATGCCGGTTCAACGTGGCATGCCTTCCTTTTAACATTCCACAAAGAATGACAAATGAAGTAATTAAGTTCCTCTATATGCTATATTTGACCCTAAATTTAGAAAGCATACATGCCACTTTCACATTATTGCTTGGACTGATTTCATAACTTCTAAAAATAAAAACGAGTACAAAGTATACCTTGGTCAAATTTTCGAGCACACCAACCATCCACAGCATCACAAACAAAGCTGCAATTCCAAATTTAGTCATATTCAAGCCAATAATTTCTCAAAAGGAGACAAAGCTTCGTATGTTAGATACAATTCCCACCTCAGAAAATAGAGGGCAGAAAAAAGCCTTTTGCTGGAAAAGCATATTGCAAAAGCATAGCAATTCAAGAGAATTCTTATATAACCTACAACCACAAAATTGAAAACACTTTAAAAAGTTCAAAACTTGAAAGAACCCAAGATTGAATTGGTCATGCACAGCCACCAAAAAGCTTTTAAACTCAAAACCCATTCAGAATTCAAAAGTTGAGAAGAAAAACCAACCAATAATATTGGGGATGTAATGGTAAACAGACAGATGGCTTGGTTTAGGCTTAGGTTTAGACTTGTTGGCCATTGGAATTTATCCGTAAGAATCAAACCTGCAAGAAAAAACAATGGGTTAAAAGAAATTGAGAGCAATAATTAGCTTAAATATGAAGAAATTGGATCTGGGTACGACCTGGAAGAGCAAATAGTTGAAGCTTTTTGGGTGAAGTGTGGATTTTTATTTAAGGAAAAAATACGAATCTGAAAACTGTGAAAGTCCTCACCTTTTGCAGCAAAAGCTTTGCCGAATATAATTTTTTTTTCACAGCCTTTGAACCGATTCCTTGCTTAGTTTTTGTTTAATCACAACTGCGAAAACAATAACCTTTAAGATTTACTTGCAGAATAATGAGATAATAAAATACGGTTCTTCGACTTCTTTCGTATCTGGCCCACTTGGGAAAGGATTATTCTGAGTAAATTACCTAAATAATCCTTCATCGATTCTTTGATTATTTTGTTATAACATTTTCTATAATTAGATAATGAAAGGTTCCAGTAAACACAGCAACCAATTATCGTAAAGTTGCACAAACCAAATTAATTCAGCAGTTAAACTGTTAAAAGAATTATTGTTATTCATAAAAGTTTCGAGTTTGAGCATCAATAGTTATAGGATGTTTTTTTATGATTTGAAGTTATTTTTAAGAATTTTTATATGTTATAAAATTATGAAACATATTCAAAAATTAAAACCATATACTCTAATTTTTAATTCATGTAAATGTTTGTTCAATTCATTTCTCTATTTTTGCTAATTTAATTACATCGTGATCATCCTTCATCCGTTCTGCATTCTCCAGGAATTTCGTTTTCCTAGGAAGCCAATGCCTCTATGCTACCTTTCTTGGCTGTTCTACAAACGGGACAAGAATCAAGAAAAACCGCGCAATCCTCGCAGGAACAGAGGTGCCTGCACGGGAGGAACAAAACGGACGACCGTCGATGATAGCAGCATCTGCAAACCATTCTTCTTTCTCCGTCGTCATCGGCGGCGACCGCCGGGAAAACCATGGCTCCTTTCTCCTCCTCCTCCTCCTCCTCCTCTTCGCATTCGCAGCAAGACGCTGCATCGTCGAAACGGCAAGAGGCCTGCTCTCGTAGCTCTTCGATCCGGTTGTTCAAAGAGAAAACCATCGCTTCGTTCTCGTGCGCCACTCTTTGCCGCGCCCGGCTCTCCATCTCCAGTCTCTTCAAAATATTTTCCAGCTCCATCGCTTTATTCCTCGCCTTCACAATCTCCTCGTCTTTTTCTCTAAGCAAAACGCAATCCCTCGATTCCATCTTCTTCACCAATACATCGAATTGTCGCTTCCTTTGCTCTTGCAGCAACAATCTCAGCCTCTCGTTCTGCAAAAACAAAAAAAAACACAAATCAGCAAAAGACAAGACCTTTACAAAGAAAGATTATTTTTATTATCATCATTTGCTAACCTGTGATTTGATGAACTGATCAATCTCGTTTTGGCTAAACATCATGGATTCAAGATCCTGATTTCTTTGCTGCTGGTTTTGAAGATACTGAAACTGCTGTTGCTGTTGTTGTTGTTGTTGCAGTTGTAAGTGATGTAACTGCTGAACACTTAAACCGTATTGATTGAAACCGCGGCCATTGTTGTCGATCAAATCCAAAGAACCGCACAAGGGAAAGCCGATGTTATCAGAATACAACTGCGCCTGTACAGCCATTCTTCTCCTCTATTTCTTCTTCTTCTTCAACAACAGAACAAAAAACAAACAACTTTTTCTTTTGATCCACAAATCTCTTCCTTCTGATCAAAGAAACTCTCAAACTCCCCAGTGGACATAAGAAAACAAAAAAGATGGTAAAGTGTGTTGGTGTGTATTTATAAGACACAGAGGGTTGTATATATATATATATATATATATATATATATATATATGAAGAAGAAAAAACTGGGATTTGATTTGGATTATAATTTAAGTACCGAGAGGGGGCTGATGTGAATCAGTTAAAATACGACTAAAAAATGATGTGATTAGTTAAATAGGTAACTGATTAAAAGTATTACCATAAATGTAATATGTTTTTACCGAAAATAATATTTGTGTTGATAATAATATTGGTAATAACTGGTAATATTATTATTGTATGTAAAATGCGTAAAAAAAATCGACTTTAACATAACTGGTTAATTACTAGAAACATTATTAACCATAATAACATAACAGATAGCGCTCATTTAACGTAATAGGTAGAGCCTTTCTAAAACTGATGGGGTCTTAGAAATCTGACGATAATAAAATAGGTTAATTACTTAATTTGTTATCAATATTATCAACATATTAGGAAACGCTTAAAATGTTACCAAAGTTTAAGTTGATAAAGACTTAGAAATCTGACAATAACAAAATAAGTTAATTACTGAAAACATTATTAACCATAATAACATAACAAGTAACGATTATTTAATGTAATAGGTAGCGCCTGTTTAAAGCTGATGAGGCCCTAGAAATCCGACGATAACAAAATAGGTTAATTATTTAATTGGTTTTCAATATTTTTAACATATTACCGTGTAAATTGTTAATTTATCTATTACTTTAAAGTAATAGGTTTCGAAATTATAAGTATCGATATTTGTACATTTACACATATTTTCATTATACCGGTAGAAACGTTTACCGTGTACTTTGTTAGTTTATCTATTACTTTAAAGTAATAGGTTTCGAAATTATAAGTATTGATATTTTATATATAAGTATCGACACTGTAACACCCTAATCTATCAGTTAAAATTTCATATGATATTTATTGAAGTGATCTAATTAAAATTTTGGTTATCAAGGAATTTTGAGAAGGTTGATGACTCTAAGTATAATTTTATCTTTCTTTGGATTTAAAGGACTCTAAAATTCAAGTGAATTCTATCCATCATATAGTGATGTGAATTTATTTATTATTATTATTTTATAATATGGAAAATGGAAAACCACATGTTTGAAAGATATTTTTGGGATGAATTGATTTTAATAAGAGGATTTAGAAGCAATCTGAATGACTTCAAATAAAAAAATTATTTCTTCCCTATCTTGACAGAGAGCATGAACCAGTGAGTTCACCGGGAATAATAGAGCAAACCAATCGATCAAAAACAGTGTAAACGAGAGCAAAGTTCGACGAAGCTTTTGGGTTTTGGTCCCGACGATCTGGGCCACCGTCGGGAAATTACATCGGTGAAATTGTTCTTAACAACTAGATGACCATCATACCTCGAAAGCAACACCATCCAACGGTAAAATCAAAGAACGAATAGTTTGAAGCTCATCGCATTCAATATTTTTTTTATAGATCTACAATCATATATCGTGAGTCTTGATCAATAGAGGCAAGATCCGTGACGAGAAGGGTGAGGCGAGTTTAATGGTGTACTTTGGGTCCCGAACGGCGATCAATGGCGTTAAGCTATATGGTGGTCATCGATATTTTGATTTTCAGTCGGCCATTTTCGTCCTATTTTCAAAACACTGGACGAAGAATGTTTAAGGGGGTGTTACTTGAATTATAATAAGGGTGTGTTTGGTTGGGGGAATGTGAGATTCCCATGGGAATGGAATCCACATTCCCCCGTTTGGTTGGCCGGTAATGTCATTCCTGGTAATCTTACATTACCAATAGTGAATTTTTGGGGTATATACCGGGAATGTCATTACCTCCCTTTCCTTAGGTATTGTTGGATTACAGCGTTTTGGACTAAAATGCCTTAAAAAAATTTTCTTTAAAAAATATTCTTATTCTGTCATGAATAATAAAAATTCTACGAAGGTTCAATTACAAAATTTATCCTTAAACTATTTTAGATTTACAAAAAAAAAGTCTATAATTAAATTTTATATGAAGTTCAGGGGTTAAAATAAAATTTTACCATTTTTAAACCTTATTTTGAATTTTGTAAAAAAAATATATAAATTTTATGAATTTAAATTTTTTAAAGAAATATATAAAATATTTTCAACTTGTTAAAAAAATAAATATATAATAAGGACAATTTGGTAAATATATATTCCAATAATCTTTTATTCCTTAATAAAACACGGTAATCTTACATTCCTACTAACCAACCAAACACAAAAACACACATTCCCAGTAATCCTATTCCCTGGTAATCTTTTATTCCCATTGGTAATCTTACATTCCATGAACCAAACGCACCCTAATGGTAAGGATCACGTGGGTTGTGGATAATGAATGAAGGATAAATTGCAGCTTCAGTCATCCATTTTGGTATGGTTTCAACTTTGTCCACTAGTTTTAATAAAATTTCACACAAGCAATGATGTTTAAATCAAATCGATTTAGTCCCTGATTTTAGTAATTAAAAATTTTATTGACTCTTAAAGTTTTTAGTTTTAACAATTAGGTCCCCAAATTATTAATTAGATTCTAATAAGTTATTTTTATGGCAAAGAAAATTATTTGAAGTCGTATTTGTACGGTGGATGGTTCGTGTTCGTGAGAAAAAGATTGGAAGCTAGAAATCAAGTTGGTGAGATTAAATTCAAGAGTCATATTTTGGGTTTGTTGACGTCCTGAGTCCGATTCTGAAGTCCGTATTGCCAAATTAGAATCTGGTAAGCTATTTTTCATTGATTAATCACCCGATTCGACCCGTTTTTCACAATTAAGCCCCGTTTTTGATGAAATTTCTATTGTTATGTATTTGAGGAATTATTGGAAGTTGAATTAAAGATCGAGGGTGTTCGTACGAAATTTATATGATCGATCAGTATGTCACAAAAATCAAGGTAATACTTTACTACCTCTTTATACTTTATGGAACATGTTGATTGGTAAATGCATGAATAGGATTGGCCACTTTGTGGAGTTAAATAAATTATACATTGTAATGTAGAAATTCGAATACTAATATAAGAGATTGAGGAATTGTTAGAATTAAATTACAAGTTTGTGATTAGTGATAAAGAAATCAGCTCTGGATTTGTAACTTATATTTTTATCATCAAGGTTAATGTAAGGTACTTGGATGAGAAATTGTGAGAATACTCTTGGTAGGGTAATTATGAAAATACCCTTATGTTGTAGGATGACAAGAATTATCCCTCGAAGTTGGTTAATAATGAAAACATATTGAAATATATTACGATGTGCATAAGAAATGATAGTTTTGTTTAGAAAATTTGGATAACTGATTTTTAATGCCAAAAAGGGTTTGCACAAGATGCTAGAAGTTTGTTAAGGAATAATTTCAAGATCAAAGAATGTTTGGGAAAGCAATTGACCATAGGATCTTTAAATTATAATTATTTTTGTTAAGAACTAATATCGAAATTATCTGGTTAGGAAATTATGAAAATGCCCCTGAGAGGTAAAATAGTCCGAGTTGACCCTGAATGAGAAAGTACTTTGAGGATTTGTACTTAACTGGATTAAATACGAATTTGATTGTTAAGATCCTGACTTAGTGCAGAAAATTCTTGATATTCTGTTGGTAAAAATCGGAGAAGGCACTTGACCCGAAAATATCCGAGTTTAGAGTAAATAATGAAGAACAATTTATCGGGTGCTCTTTTATCAGAATTGTTCGAAGGGACTGAAATAGATGATAAATTGGAATACTAAGACATGATGGAAGGAAATGATTGAAATGCATCTGTAGAATTACCCCTATAATGGAAATGACCCAATAATATCACCAAGCTCAGATTGATTCCTCGAGCTCTGAAATAAATGGAATAAAACTGAACACCAAAATTACCAAAATAACCTTATGGCCTAAACTAAGTAATATCTTGGATTAATTAAGGAATCCAAATAAGCATAGGTATTGGACTACCTTTAAAAGTAATGGAACACAATTTAAGTGAGTAGATCAACTCTAAAGATATGTCAATACCTGAATGGCATAGATATTATTGTAATGCGTGTTCGTCTTCTCAAGTTTAGCTCGATGATAAATTTTAGAAGTATTCAATTCAACTCAACTCTAGATCACATTCAGTACTAAGAATTGGACGTTTGCTCGACAAATCAACCACGAAGACCAAATTGAATGGAACAGAAGTACAACATGTATATGAAATTCAGGAACGTTTGAATTACTCTGGAAAATCCTGAAGTAACTGGAATAGACTTGAATGCTAAATAAATTAAGTAACCTCAAGGACTGAGGATTAAATAAGTGATTTGAATGGGTCTGGAAACGTTAATGAACATACATGATGTAATGTTCTTATAGAACATGCACTACAAATCAAGCACGTTAGCATTTCATGATATCGTGGAAGCGTGGAAATGAAATAAAGAGCATTAAAATATCTGTTAGTTTCCTTAAGATTTATTCAGCGATGATTTCGAAGATTATATATGGACTAGAATTTGTGGTATTAAAGTGTAAATACCATGTAAGGACATTGAATTGACCAGTCGATAAGCATTAATTCTGGGAGATATTCATCTGAAGTTGTTTGATAATGAAATCAATCGACATAGACTATAAATGTCCTGAATCTTCATTTCTTCCTTATCAACCCAAGTCATATTCTGAATAACTGATGATTCCGTCAGTTTTTGAATTCTTCTTATAGTGATTCTAAATTCACACATTCTATCAGTATACTGAGGATTTGTATGTCTCTGTCGGTTAAGATTATCCTGTACCTCTAAATAATATCCATAAACTCTGGTGTGTTCCCTAATTATATAAATATTTTATCTGATCATCGATCTGAATTCTGTTCTGATTTCTGATTTGGATTCTGTTCTGATATCTGATCTGAATTATGTTTTGATTTCTGATATCTCCGTTTACAGACGGAGAAATGTTTTATCTGGGGGCTTATTGTTAGAGGAAGATTATCTGCAGACTTCTCGGCTTTGTGCTTAGGGTCTAAATGGCATGTGCAGTTGGGTGTATGGTTCTGGGAAACATACATATTTTTTATGTGAACGAATGGGGGTATATATATATATGTGTTTTAAAAGAATCTGTATCTTTTTATTGGTTTTACGGGAACACACTAGATAACCTATTCTGATCTCTTGAACCTAGACATCCGAAAATATTCCCTGAACTAAACGTTTGATATCTGTTACTACCTGAAATATCCGTATGATCTCTGCTCAGCATAAAGATCTGTAGATGTCTGAACCGACAAGGAAATATATGTTTATATGTAAATGCATGTTCTTCAGCATCATCTGGTAGTTTTGTATTACTGAGCTTTCCGAAGCTCACTCTATTACTCAACATTACAGGTTAAAAGAATTGTACCAGTGCAACTATCGTCATCAGTATGGGAGTTCTTCCGGCGTTACTTCCAGAGAATGGTACATGTGATTAGGGGGCATGTAATTATATTTTGATTTATATACGAGTCTGAAAATCTATTTTATTTATGCATACTGATAAATCATTTTATAAGTTACATGTTTTAATAAAAGTTTTAAATTTTCCGTCATTTTTACAGTGAGTCGCTCCGGTGGCCCTAATGTGACACTCCAGACTGGATCGAGTTATCTGTATCGGTCTGAGAGGGTTACATTTAATGGTATCAGAGATTTGGTTTGAGTCAAAAAAAATTTATGATAGACCGACCGGTCGAATGTCAAAAGATGTCTGATCAGTACATACCCTTATACTACAATCGTACTTCTCTGAGCCGGAACTCCAAGGTTGAGTCACTATTTGTAACGAGCAAACCTAAGTTTTTATTCGTTAAGGTTCTACCTTTGCATAAAAGAATATTAGTAACGTCTATCTAAATTATGTAAAGTACTTCATGAGCCATGTGATAGTTACTCATTTGAGAAATTTCGAACCAACTCTAGAAATGAAATTGGGATATGTTACAGCTCTATGAGCCTATTTTCGTAACCAAGACTGGATTGATTCCACAAGGATAATTCTGTTCTGATTCTTTTATTGGAATGAGAGGGGGTTCTGATGAGAATGTATACTCAGCTGGTTAAGGATTAGTGAAGAACACGTATTTCTGTAAAAGCTACTTGAAGGTATGATAGAACAGATGGAAGTTTCATTTCTGTATTTCTGTGACTTGAATGAATTTCGAGGACGAAATTCTTTTAAGGATGGGAAAATTGTAACACCCCAATCTATTAGTTAAAATTTCATATGATATTTATTTAAGTGGTCTAATTAAAATTTTGGTTATCAAGGAATTTTGAGAAGGTTGATGACTCTAAGTATAATTTTACCTTTCTTTAGGTTTAGAGGACTCTAGAATTCACGTGAATTTTATCCATTATATAGTGATGTGAATTTGCTTATTATTATTATTTTATAATATGGAAAATGGAGAACCACATGTTTGAAATATATTTTTAGGATGAATTGGTTTTAATAAGAGGATTTAGAAGCAATCTGAATGACTTCAAATAAAAAAAAATTATTCCTTCCCTATCTTGACACAGAGCATGAACCAGCGAGTTCACCGGGAATAATAGAGCAAACCAATCGATCAAAAACAGTGTAAACTAGAGCAAAGTTCGATGAAGCTTTTGGGTTTTGGTCCCGACGATCTGGGCCACCGTCGGGAAATTCCATCGGTGAAATTTTTCTTAACAACTAGATGACCATCATACCTCGAAAGCAACACCATCCAACGGTGAAGGCAAAGAACGAAGAGGTTGAAGCTCATCGCATTCAATATTTTTCTTATAGATCTACAATCGTCTATCGTGAGTCTTGATCAATAGAGGCAAGATCCGTGACGAGGAGGGTGAGGCGAGTTTAATGGTGTACTTTGGGTCTCGAACGGCGATCATTGGCGTTAAGCGGCATGGTGGTCATCGGTATTTTGATTTTCAGTCGGCATTTTCGTCCTATTTTCAAAACACTGGACGAAGAGTGTTTAAGGGGGTGTTACTTGAATTATAATAATGGTAAAGATCACGTGGGTTTTTATAAAGGTGGATAATGAATGAAGAATAAATTGCAGCTTCAGTCATCCATTTTGGTATGGTTTCAACTTTGTCCTCTAGTTTTAATAAAATTTCACACAAGCAATGATAGTTTAAATCAAATCGATTTAGTCCATGATTTTAGTAATTAAAAAGTTTATTGACTCCTAAAGTTATTAGTTTTAACAATTAGATTCTAATAAGTTATTTTTATGGCAAAGAAAATTATTTGAAGTCGTATTTGTACGGTGGATGGTCAGTGTTCGTGAGAAAAAGATTGGAAGCTAGAAATCAAGTTGGTGAGATTAAATTCAAGAGTCATAATTTGGGTTTGTTGACGTCCTGAGTCCGATTCTGAAGTCTGTGTTACCAAATTAGAATCCGGTAAGCTATTTTTCATTGATTAATCACCCAATTCGATCCGTTTTTCACAATTAAGCCTCGTTTTTGATGAAATTTCTATTGTTATGTATTTGAGGAATTATTGGAAGTTGAATTAAAGATCGAGGGCGTTCGAATGAAATTTATATGATCGATCAGTATGACACGAAAATCAAGGTAATACTTTACTACCTCTTTATACTTTATGGAACATGTTGATATTGGTAAATACATGAATAGGATAATATTGGTCACTTTTGTGGAGTTGAATAAATTATACACTCGATATGAATGTGGTAGAAATTATGTAACTGAATACGGATCGAATGACTAATATAAGAGATTGAGGAATTGTTAGAATTAAATTACAAGTTTGCGATTGGTGATAAAGAATCAGCCCTGGATTTGTAACTTATATTTTATATCATCAAATGTTAAATGTTAAAGGTACTTGGATGAGAAATTATGAGAATACTCTGGTATGGTAAAATTACGAAAATACTCTTATGTTGTAGGATGACAAGAATTGTCCCTCGAAGTTGGTTAATAACTCTGAAAAGACATATTGATTCGATATAATTACAGATATGCATAAGAAATGATAGTTTTGTTTAGAAAATTTGGATAACTGATTTTTAATGCCAAAAAGGGTTTGCACAAGATGCTAGAAGTTTGTTAAGGAATAATTTCAAGATCAAAGAATGTTTGAGAAAGCAATTGACCATAGGATCTTTAAATTATAATTATTTTCGTTAAGAACTAATATCGAAATTATCTGGTTAGGAAATTATGAAAATTCCCCTGAGAGGTAAAATAGTCCGAGTTGACCCTGAATGAGAAAGTACTTTGAGGATTTGTATTTAACTAGATTAAGTACAAATTTGATTTTTAAGATCCTGACTTAGTGCAGAAAATTCTTGATATTCTGTTGGTAAAAATCGGAGAAGGCACTTGACCCGAAAATATCCGAGTTACGAGTAAATACCTAAAGAACAATTTATCGGGGTGCTCTTTTATCAGAATTGTTCGAAGGGACTGAAATAGATGATAAATTGGAATTAAATACTAAGACAGGATGGAAGGAAATGATTGAAATACATCGGACCTGTAGAATTACAAGAATACCCCTGTAATGGAAATGACCCAAGAATATCACCAAGCTCAGGAATGATTGGATATCCTCGAGCTCTGAAATGAATGGAATAAAACTGACCAAAATTACCAAAATAGCCTTATGGCCTAAACTAAGTAAATATCTTGGATTAATTAAGGAATCCAAATAAGCATAGGTATTGGACTACCTTTAAAAGTAATGGAACATAATTTAAGTGAGTATATCAACTCTAAAGCTATGTCAATACCTGAATGGCATAGATATTACTGTAATACGTGTTCGTCTTCTCAAGTTTGACTCGATGATAAATTTTAGAAGTATTCAACTCAACTCAACTCAACTCTAGATCGCATTCAGTACTAAGAATTGGACGTTTGTTTGACAAATCAACCACGAAGACCAAATTGAATGGAACAGAAGTACAACATGTATATGAAATTCAGGAACGTTTGAATTACTCTGGAAATCCCGAATTAACTAGAATAGACTTGAATGCTAAATAAATTAAGTAACCTCAAGGACTGAGGATTAAATAAGTGATTTGAATGGGTCTAGAAACGTTAATGAACATACATGATGTAATGTTCTTATAGAACATGTACTACAAATCAAGCACGTTAGCATTTCATGATATCGTGGAAGCGTGAAAATGAAATAAAGAGCATTGAAATATCTGTTAGTTTCTTTAAGATTTATTTAGCGATGATTTCGAAGATTATATATGGACTAGAATTTGTGGTATTAAAGTGTAAATACCGTGTAAGGACAATGAATTGACCAGTCGATAAGCATTAATTCTGGGAGATATTCATCTGAAGTTGTTTGATAATGAAATCAATCGACATAGACTGTAAATATCCTGAATCTTCATTTCTTCCTTATCAGCCCAAGTCATATTCTGAATAACTGATGATTCCGTCAGTTTTTGAACTCTTCCTATAGTGATTCTAAATTCCAACATTCTATCAGTATACTAAGGATTTGTGTGTCTCTGTCGGTTAAGATTATCTTGTACCTCTAAATAATATCCATAAACTCTGGTGTGTTCCCTAATTACATAAATATTTTATCTGATTATCGACCTAAATTCTGTTCTTATTTCTGATCTGGATTCTGTTATGATATCTGATCTGAATTCTGTTTTGATTTCTGATATTTTCGTTTACCGACGGAGAAATGTTTAATCTGGGGGTTTATTGTTAGAGGAAGATTATCTGCAGACTCCTCGGCTTTGTGCTCATGGTCTAAATGGCATGTGCAGTTGGGTGTATGATTCTGGGGAACATATACATTTTTGATGTGAACGAATGGGGGTATATATATATATATATGTTTTAAAAGAATCTGTATCTTTTTATTGGTTTTACGGGAACACACTAGATAACCTATTCTGATCTCTTGAACCTAGAGATTCGAAATATTTCCATGAACTAAA